CCAGAGCAGGTTGTGGAGGTGGAGTTCGACGCATTCGGAGTTCTGGTTGAGGGCGACGGCTTTCCCCCACCACTCCCCCGGCTCCAGGCACCGCCTCACGTACTGCTCTCCCTCCCGGAAGACGCGGTGGAGCTCCTTGAGAGGTTGCTCGAGGGCGCGCCACTTCCCCGGCTTCTCCTCGAACCTCAAGTGGCTACGCATCTCCTCCGCGACGGCGTCGAAGGCCAGGTCGAAGGCGTCCACGAGCAGGTAGCACTGCCGGCGGTTGACGCGTATCTCGTCGCGGAACACCATGAGCGCCTTGAGGCTTCCGACGGCTTCGCCAAGCTGCCGGAATTGCTCCATCCCCGAGGCGAGAAGGAAGCTGAACTCCGCTCTGTTCCTCTCGTTAGCTGCTGGAAGAAGAAGAAGAAGAAGAAGACAGACATCTGTGTTCAATTCAAACACCAACAGCAGGAAGCACTACACATCTCGGGGAGAAGAATTGCAAGATCTCCCTCTTAAACACTAATCAATACGGAAAGAATCATCTCGTGTTTGAAGATTTACATGCTAGGAAAGACAAAGACGAGACTTCGATGCAAGAACAGTCATGCAACACCAAACAGGCAAATCAACCTGCAGCGGAGAAATCGACTTCACGTATCGCAGAGCCTCTGCAAATCCCAGCAAGAGAAGCCGATGGGTCGATGGAGAGGGATGGGAGAAGGGTCAGAAGGGAAGCATAGGAGAAGAAGAGACAGCCACCTTTGTTGATTCCTTCCACTCCTTTTTCTCTTTTCCATGTCACGTCTCACAAATCCAAAATAATTCTACTTCTTCTTCTTCTCCACAAATTCTACTCTTCTCGACCGTGAGATTTCACGTCCGCTACAGACGCAACGATAACGGAGCAGCAGTAACCATGAACCGCTACTTGACGGAACCTGCTGCTTCCACCCGGCACGATTCTTGACGGCGTCGCTCCCTTGCAAGATTAATCTCCCTGATTTAACGATTAAATGATTAATTTAACATTAATAGAAACTAGCTAATGATAGTTATGATTAATTGTATTAAGATTTACATGTAAGGAATACTAATTGGAAGGATATATGTGTGTATACGTAAAGGTAAATATGATTTTAAGAAACTTTCGAAAAGATCAATGTATATAGTATATACAAACTCCATCATCCCACAATTTATTAATATCAAATTATATTTTATTTCTATCATCGATCTCCTAATAAATATAAGAGTTTGGATTTAAATTGTGTCTAATTATTAATATTATTTCATCGGTGAATTCATTATTATTATTTTTGTAAAAATTAAAATAAGAAAACCGTTACGAGGGATCAGAGTAACGGGGACATGTTGTGGGAGGCGTGCCGTGCTCGGACGTCGCGCCACGTGGCATGGTTGACTCGGTCGTGCGAGTCGTGCGTCGCATTTGGTTCGGCGGCGCACCCACCGGTGACTCAACGACCCCAACCACCGCTGTTTGTGGGCCACCACCACCACCACTTCAGACGCACCCAGCGCTGTGGGCCCGGGTGATGATTTGGGTGCACGCCTCTCGATTGTCCGTTCCTTAATAGTAGGAAGAGGCAACGGTTGGCCGTCGATTGCCTTTGCGTCGCCAATACTCTATATATATATATATATATATATATATAGTTCCCGTTATTGGACGAATGTTGGGAAACATGATGGTTAAAGGTAGGTGGGATTAGTTAGCATTTGGACCACATAAATAATAATGATCATTAGACAGTGCAAAATTATTAAAGCCATAATTGGGAATTAAATGAATCTTGTCATTTGGATTGATGGAGTCTACATGTAACTAAAGTAGCTCATCCAATCAAAAGAATCTTTTGTTTGAATCATAGCTACCATATTTTCGCTTGCAATGACATGAAGGGATGTTGGAGATCATTTTTGAGAGCCTAAGAGCAATTTCGCTAAGATTTCTCCATTCAAATCGGTAATGTTTATTGTATTAGTATGAAGATAAAGGATTAGTTGATCTTCCTATACAAATCAAAACCACATTCTTAAATTTAATGAGCGTATATGACTCAACTAGCTTATTTATGATGGCAGTTGGAATTTTAATATGATTAGTTTATGGTATGTCACATTCTCAATATGGACTTAGAAACATGTTCCTCGTGTGCAACTGTTAACCAATTATGTATATTTTTCTTGAGCACTCAACTTGTCGAAAACAATTGTATCTTCTCGGCTTGTTGTTGATACTTGACTCAAGGAAGAGAACAATCTTAATGAACTTGGTGCTTTGAACGTAAGAGCTCTAATTGTTTATACTTTATAGAATTTGGAATGTCCGAGATAAGAATGTGTTATATGATCAGAAGAATTCATCCTAATAAAATGGTGGATCGTCAAAAGGAGGAGTCATCTCGATTCATCATCTTCTATGAAATGATGAATCATTACTCTAATTATACTCTTTAAGTGAATTTTGGACCACTCATAAGAATGATTTTTAAACTTAGAACCATATATAATTAATTATGGACTATTTAAGTCCACTTTTGCTATTTGGATTGATGGAAGTCTAAAAATGGAAAGAAATAGGATATCAATAAAGTTTGCTTGAATTCAAACTTTTGTGCTTATACAAATACCAAAGTATGATTCCTAAAACATGATGGTATATTTGACTTCATCTAATAAACTTTTTTCAAGAAAAAATCAGTCAATTCAGCTGGTAAAGATGTTGACTGTTGATTGGTGTATCAGACTACTACAGAGTTACATCAATTACATTTTCTTTCTTAGAAATTAATTGAATTTATCATTATAATCTGAACCTTTTATATTCATAAATGAGTTGACTTGGACTGGAGTTTACAGGTCAAGCAAGCTTCATGCAATTTTGACTGCTATTTTCTGACTCAAAATTAGACTGTGAGCAACCTTCCATGAACCATTTGACAGATTCAATCTATAGCATCACTTTTAGAAACAAGAAGAACAAGAATAGAATAGATGAAGCATTAATCTGAAATGGATGCTGGGGTTTCAGCAGCAGAAAAAAACAAGAGCTGAATCAGCATCAAGCTTACCTCAATTTCATCTGACAATGGGAATAGGGGATTATTCTATGCATGAAAAAGCGGCAGTCCATTTCAGAGTTTTGGCAATTTAGATGACGAGAACAAGACCCGTTCAAATGGACTGCATCTCCAAGACCAGAGTATTGTCGTTATCCATTCATTTGATTTCCTTTCGTTTATAGTCTTTTGCTGATCAATATGATACCTTTTATTTTAAATGAAATTTTTTATGTTAGAGGGACGATCCTCTACTAATCCAACGTTGAGCAATTAAGATATATGGTATACTAGAAGATTGTGTTGTCGAGATTAGAATGTTAACGCGGAGGTATATAATTACTTGATCGTTTTTATTTGCGAGAACAATTACCTGTATATTCGATAAAATACTAATAATGGTGAGTGAAGGAAGACCCAAAAGGATTTTACTGAAACTATCAATAAATAAATGAAATACTCTTAACTTCATTAAATGATCAATGTAGTTCATTGGAATAATTGAGATAGCAGAATTTTTATGTCTGATTAGATGTTGATAGCAACACCAAAAAGGAGAGACAAAAGTCTTGGATGAACATTAGAAATCTCAGTGGATTATAGACTTTGAACTTTCTTCGTACTTACATAAAACACAAAGCTGGAAGTGGGATCAACAAATATTTCTGTGATGCTATGTATCTCACAATAGAAGCAAGTAGTTTGGTGGATCATCTCATCACCTTTCCTGGACCTTACAACAGAACTTTTCTGGACTTGCAAGAAAAGCAACAGAGTCCAGGGTGATCATTGTTCTTCCATAAATGCCTGGTGGAACCTTAAAGCGATGAGGTTGTCAGAACGAGTGGGAGCTTGTTATATTTATAGGAATGAGCTAACCTCGATTGGAGTGAATGGGAAAACTTGAATCCTGCCAACAACTTGAAGAATGAAGTCAATAATTGAGACGGCAAATGATTCTGGCCAACGAGGTGGAAAGATCTTTTCTGAGTCGAAAATGATAGGAAGAATATATTTCTCTGACCCAAGCGAATTAGAATTCCAAGATTTAAATAGATGTTCTTCTAGCTATGCTATGATGCAATCTTTTTTTCTCTCTCACCATTAGGGTCTTCCAAACCCATATTGAATATATTTTTTTTAGACTTAAACATCCAAAAGATATTGTCCAACACACTTCTGACATCAATTAATTTATACAAAAGAACATGAAAAACTCAAGCCTTTCAAGTCAATATTGAGGTCTTGCTAAGATATTTAGACTTTGATTCGAATCTATTTTCGTCGCTTATCTTTTTCCAAATCAGATATCACTTTGAGATCTTTTACCTCGTAATCTATATTAAGAGCTTAATTCTTCAATGTGATAAGTTTAGAAAGACGAATTAAGTCGACTTAATTTGTTTATGTGATGTTAACAATAATAATAATAATAATAATAATAATAATAATAATAAAAGAGTTGCACATTTGTTTTTTGGTAGGTGAAGAATGGCATTATCATGTGAAGTTGTTCCAACACAATCTTTTCCCACCTTTGACCTCTCTTTATATATATATATATATATATATATATATATATATATATATATATACAATTGTCAACAATGATCAAATATCTTATATATCGCCCTCTTCATCGTCGAGCCCACTAAGTTTCACATCAAAGCAGAGCACGCAGACCACCACCCCATATCGCTAATGGAAGCAACGCATGGTATCTCCTGACAAAAAGAACAAGAACATTTCATTTGCCAAAAGAATGGTGAGTGTCCTTCATGGATGGGCACAAATACACTGATGCTTCATGGACCCAAAAAAGACCCTGTTCTCTCAATCTTCAAAGAAACCCTAACCCTAGTAATTCATTCGCCTATGCAAGGAAGACCAACTCTTCTCAAGATGGAAAGAATTGTTTGTGGTGGCTGCAGCGCCATTTGTCTTTTTGCCGGTTGAGCGGATTCGACATCCTCATGTTCCCAGTTAACACTGTTCCTACACGGCTTCAGGGCATGAATCTTCATGCAGCTGCACATACGGCTCCTGACAAGTGCAAGATAACAAAGTTCATAGAAAACTTAGCTACTCGAAGCTGATGGAAGTAAGATGAGTTTTTTTAAAGCAAGAGCAAGCTATTGCGGGTTGGCCCCAACAGGTTTTGTTCCGTAGACTGGCACCAGAGTTTTACTGCATCAGGGCGGAAACTAGCATGTGCAATTTCCAAGGACAATTAAAGGGATGCTGTTAACTAAGATACAAATCTAATGCAGAGACAAACCTGAGGACCACGATGAGCAGCATAGTTTTCCTTCGTTAACATGCTTAACATCAAGACCAATCATCCATGATCCAACACTGACATCATCATGGGCAAATGTGCGAAGAATAGACCTAGCATTCAAAGAAATAGGTGATTGACTCCAACTGTAATAAGCCTGACTTTTGCTAAATAGAGGATATATCATTGCCAATTTTATCAATATACTAAGAGAGAATATTTGATAGTTTCCATGTACATACTTGTTGATGGAAATAAACTGTGCAACAGCTCTGGAGACTACAAACATTTCACCAGAAGCATGACGGAAGTACCTGTTAATCAACATGAATCAAAATTTAGTGACATCAGAAAAAACATAATCACAATGGAAAATAAAAAGAAAATAACAAAACAATGCTACCATAAGTGGCAAAATCCACATTGCAGCACAGAATGGCTCATACCAAGGATAAATTTATTGAGGCACAAAAGTCATTTCTGCATAATACTTAGTCAAGCATTAACTTTACCAAACATTTAACTTCATATATTCCAATTATGTTTTAAAGGGAAACTAATTTTTGTTGGTCATAATTGAGTGGCTATGCAACACACTTTAAGTGTCACCAGTCAAGGCCTTCCCAACTGCTACATGCCAACATGCTGCAGTTCAGAGAACAAAAAGATAGTGGAAACTATGCCATTGTAGAAAAGCTGTTACCCAAAAAAAAAATATATCAATTAGATCTATCTTGAAGCCCATTTGCAAATGCATATCTGGTTCCGCATGGTCGTATCATGCAACTAAAGACTATGAACACAATTCCTGAAGGCATCCGCTTACACAATGACGAGCATCAGAATGTATCCAGCAGATTCAGACCTTGAGGCAAGTGGACCTTTGCACATTTATGTCAAGCTTATCTGTAAACTAAATGAGCAAGGTGGGAGATCATATTTCAGAGTCTCCGACAATATTCTGCAATTGTTAATGAAAATGAGTGAAAAGCAACAGAAGCAGCCACAGCTCACCCACCAACCACAAGAGCACCCCGGCAAGAAGAAACAGACAATAAAAATATAACGAAATTCAGAAGAAATAAACAGTAACAGAAATGAACATGACAAAATACAATGAGAAAACAGAATAGATATGTCAAACCACAAACGATCAGGTCTCATTAAAAGAAGACATCAGAAATCAATACCAACAATGAAATTCACAAGCATCAGTTGATTAGTAGAAGAAAAGAAGAATGTATTTCAAGTAGATGATATAGCAAGAAAAATACAGAAAGGATCACCTATTGATCAGAAACTTCAGATAGGATAGAATAAATTTCATAACCTTTGAGTCGCCTTAAGAGTTTAGAAATCATATAGTGTCCTTACTAAGTGGAAAAAGAAGCAGGAGAAGGACATAAGAGGAGAGTCGATCAATGCAGTAGTTTGTAAAGAGGGAAGAGAAGAAAAAAGACTTAGAAGAAAGTATTGTTTATATTTCCCAGAACCAGGGTTCTCAATTTTGATGTGTACTGCCTGGTACGGGCGGTACATACCAGTCCGAGAGGATACCAGTACGCGAACCGCCCTCTACTGGGCGGTACCAATGTTTTGACCCTATATCGGGTGATATAGGGTCTGTACCGAGCAGCAATGATCGAAATTTGACCGTTACAGAGGCATACCTGTCGGTACGCCTTGGATTTCGACTGTTACCAAGGTGTACCAATCGATACGCCCCAGATTTCCACTATTATCGAGGCTTACCGATCCGTATGCCCTGGTATTTTAGGACCGTTACCTCCATGTATTTTTGGAGGTTTTTCAGTTCTTTTTGGGTATATCGTCAGTATGCCTCGGTACGGTACTCGGTACACCGATACAAACCGAAATTGAGAACCTTAGCTAGAACTTCATATATGGAGACCTCTACAGATATGGTTTCAGAACTGCTTTGGAAAGACTTTAGTTCAGCATCTCTTCCCTAGGAATTTCCTAGCTTCTTTTATAGGGTAAGATGTAATGAAAGATAGGTTCTTGATCTGAATCATTGGAAGATGTTGAAGGCAAGTTTATTGGTTTTCTATGCATGCAATTTTCCATATATTCCTGGTAGTCATATCCTGGTGTTACAAGCCAAAATGCAGCATAAATTGAAGTTTGAGGTTCTTGATATGAATCATTGGAAGATGTTGAAGGCAAGTTTATGGGTTTCTATGCATGCAATTTTCCATATATTCCTGGTAGTCATATCCTGGTGTTACAAGCCAAAATGCAGCATAAATCGAAGTTTCCTCTGGACAGAGGTAAGATGGCATGGATCATCTTCATCATCCATTAAAAGGCTTCACCACTTACTTCTAGTGGCTAATTTACTTTAAATGTGATGCATCCCTGTTTTCTGCATTCTAAGAACAATGACAGGAATCTCTGTTCACCTTTTTTTCTGTACTTATGTCCATTGATTGGTGATGATAGTAAAAAGATTCTAATTCTCTTATAGTAGTTTGATGATTTTATAAGACAGTTGTGAGACCAACAATATTTTATAGATCTGAGTGTTAGGCAATTAAGAAACAACATATACAAAAATTTTATATTGTTGAGATAGATATGTGGAGTTACTAGGAAAGATGAGAAAATGAATATTTTCATTAGTGAACAACTAGGTATTGTTTCGATAGAAGATAAGATGAGAGAGAATCATTTAAGATGGTATAGACATATGCTTAGGAGACCTAAGGATGCGATAACTAGAAAAAGTGAAATGATTGATGTTCGTGGTATGAGAAAATGTAGAGGAATAGCAAAAAAAACTTTAATAGAAACTATAAATAAAGATGTGAATATTCTAAAGTTAACTAAGCATATGCCTTTTTACAGATCTCAATAATGGCAAAAAATCCATATAGCCGACCTCAAATAATTGAGACTTACGATTTTGTTGTTATTGATGTTGTTGTTTGATGATCTTGAATAATCATGGTTGTCACCTATTTATTGCCTCAGGGTCTAAATTATTTCATTCCATTGTGTGACAAGCAATTCAAAGTTAATGTAGATTTGATGAGTCCAACATGAAAAACTTTAACTAACAGAAAAAAAGAAAAGAAAGGAAGAGAAACAAAATTAGAAAGAGAAAATAAAAAAATAAAATTAATAATTATTTTTTATTAAACTTGTGGTCCAACCAATTGACCCACTAATCTAGTCAGCGATCCAATGACCCAATCGATAGCCAATTCAGTTTTGATAACTATGCCAACAACCAAGTTTAATATCCTTTCTCATTTCTAACTGACAGCTACAGAGTGCAACTACCATGCAGCTGCTGAGCGGATAACCATCGGCGAACAGGGTCATAAATCAGATCTAGGATTAGTTGCAAATTTTTATCCACACAACTGTGTAAACAAATTAAAACTTGATACAGATGAACATAAGGCACCATTCAACATAACATAAATATGAAAGAAATACAAGAATCACTTACGATTTTCCATCACCAAACTTCCACCACTCTGGTTCAAACCACTTGTGACTCCTAGACATAAAATAAGCAGTTAGCGAACATAATCAAGCATCAAGACTATCTTTAAAAAAGTAGCACCAAGTGCTTGTGTTCCAATAAACTTACAACTCAGAGAAAACTTCACCAGATTTCATACAACCAATGTAAACACGGGGCTTGTCCAAGTGTGATGCAAGCATTGTTCCCAAAGCATCTAAATATAACAAGATTTAAAGATTATCATTAATGAAAAGGAGGCACATCCACCAAGCAATTGCATTAGATTTGTTATTGTAGCCAACATTAGAACTTGTTACACATAATAGCAACCATGATATGCTAATTAGAGGTACAATTAATATGAGAACAATTCAGATGACATTTGGTGATGATACTTAATTCCCAGTAAAAAAAAAATTTCTTTACTTCTTCAGACTTTTGGTAGATTTGCCTATTGATTGTGCAAAAATCTTTTTCAACAGTACAAGCAGTTCCACATGAGGTAGCACAGACCACAAAGCTTTATCTGGACTAGTGGGTGCTTTTGCCCACCACATCTTGGAGAAAGTTTGGTTTTAGTTGGTAACAACTAAAACATTAAGGTCAAATTTTCCTATTAGATAGTTTGTGGTATCAAGTATCAACTAATCCCACTTTGATACACCCAATCTTTAACATTATCAACTAAGGCCAATCTAAGTTTAATCGACTTCTCAGCCTTATAGTTCTTTGAATTGATTTGAATCAACCAAAATTGCCTAATATTAGCAATTCTAGACAATTTGATATACCACAAAAAAGGAGGGGACGAGCAGGAGTATAAGAATAGAGAAAATGAGTTAGAGGAAAGACAAAAAAAAAAACAAATATGATTGTAAAATAAAGGACAAGACTTTATTACTGTTGTGCTTGTTTTTTACAACTATTGGATTTACTGTTTAGTGTTTACCACCATTGGCATAATTATCCATCATCAACAACCATAAGGCATGGAGCAAAGGTATATGGAGAAGAAAGAGGAGGATAAAGGGTAGCTTTAACCATTTAAAATATAGGGAACCTATCACGGAATATATATGTGATAGAATTTGAAGTTAATCCCAAATCCAAAGGTGCTCTCTCTTTTCCTTATGTCTTTGCATTACCTTATATCCCAAGCAGCAAGTTGACAAGTCTTTCACCCGTTGTATAATGTAATAGTTATTTACTACAGTGATATTATTGTATAATATGATTAATATTTATTTTACAAAAATGTCCCATAGATATTTTTTAACAAATTAATCCCCATTATTTTTGTTTTGTATTTTCTCTAATGATTTGCTACTTCCAAGAATTTTTAATATTATATAAAACAATTTCATGGGTGTTCCCAATCTCATCGATCCAAATTGAATATTTTTTCCTGATTCCAATTAAATTAATATGAATCTATCCTAATCCCAATGTGAATTTGGCAAACTATGAATTAGATGTCAGGTCCAATAGAGGAACAGGCAGGGATGAGCTTTAATTATGATGAAATGAGATCTCTTTTCTTTTCAAAAACTAACATGAAATGAGAACTCTAAGGCATTAAAGTGTAGTTGAAAGATACTTATGTCAAATTAAGCATCAGCTATTCTGAGCATCAACATGGTTAATTTTATAATGATTCTTGAACATTAAGTTCTTGAGCCAAAGTTCAGTAGAGAAACAGAATTAGATTTGCTTTGAATGAAACTTAAGGTAATTTAGTAGAAAGATAATTGTTTAAGTCGAAGCAAGCATTTGTTTTATGACACAAGTGAATCCAAATATTGCATTCTAGGTGGGCAGGGAATCCAAAAAGTGTCTTTTAGCCTGATAGCCTTGATTGGAAGGCAACTAAAAGGAGCTGATGTATAACCAAAGCATATAGCAAGCAACATCTAACAAATTTGTGACAAAAGCCCATGCTTCAGGTGTCCACATCTCAGATCAAAAGGACAAAGAGCATAAAGGTCGTAAAAGTATACTGGATATCAAATTAGCTAGTTCTCAAAGCACACTTGCCTATTCTGTCTCATTAAATTCTTTGGTGTCACATTGGAGCGTCCCCATAAAGATACACATGAAAGCCCACATCTATTACTGCTATTCCCTTCCAACGAATGCCACTGCACCAAGCTACCTCTATCTTTTCTAGTAGTATCCTTCAGACCCAGAAATCAAATCGAAACAAAACAAAGGCACAAGCATGTTGATGCCACTAGCTGGAAAATTAGAGAACATTGTAGCTGAAATAAGGCTATGATTTGCAAAGAAAAACTTCTCCATTTACTTCAAAAACAAAAGACTATCTGATAAAAGCATGATAGGATTAATTAAACTAACCTTCGAGAAACATAGTCACATCAAGCATACAACTCTAATAAAAGATAACATGTGGCTAATTCTATTTCACCAATGCTTCTTTTAACAATATTAAAATTTATGCTAGAAAAAGAAAATGTTTAAGTAAAATATCACACAACTGAACTATTAACCAAAAAGAGATGACTACATATGACAATTCTTGCCAAGTAAAATAAAGTTCAGTGCAGCACATAGTCTACTCATAAAGGATCTCAATACTTCAAATATAATAATAACAATTCCTGCCAACGAATTAACCGAGGATGTCTGTCAATCAGGTACCAAATTCCTTGGACAAAACAACATGAACAACAAATCAAATGCAGATGTGATACAAACTTTAAGCAACCGTAAAAATTTTTCCCTATAAGTTACTAAAACTGATAAATTCAAAGTGTTTCAACAAAACATAACATCAAGGTAGATCATTTGATGCTCCATTGAAGAAACATACCAATATTAACATAAACATCATCATTAACCTTAGCATAGAACTCAGCATCCCAGGTATCTGCAGCATAAACTAAAAACAGCTTTGTCTTCTTTGGGCCTTCTTCTGAAGCTTCTACATGATTATCCTGTTGAAAATTAAAATGTTTTCATGGAATTCAAAATAAAAAATAAAGGTTTTTAATAAGACTTCATCTGAACTTTCAGCTAAATACTGCAGATGGTGTTGTTCTATGCAATCTTAAGGTAGCAATAGAATTAGAGATCACCTATGAAAGATTGAGAAAGTAATGTCAAAGAACACATGAAAACTCAAATAGCTCAAAATATATCCATTTATGTAATATTAATTACTACATAACCAATAGTACACTATACTGAGAAACTGTGAACCAAAATAAAATTAGAAAATAAATAATAAACAAGGCATGAAGCCAGATAAACAAAATGGTGACAGAGAAGTATTAGGTTAGAATTTAGAAGAGAAACCATAAGAATAAAGAAGGATAAGAACCATCCAGATGTAACAAACTTTTAACAATAATAAAGATTCATATCAAGGTTTTAAATACGAGTCCGATACTGATTTTGGAAACTATTAGGCCGGTATGGTACCAATACATCAATCGGGCAATATACCAACCTGTACCTATCATTTAATAAAATATAAAATTATTAAAAATGAATGGTAATTGTAATGGTACCAAGCTATACATTTCGATTCCAGTACCTGGTTGAAATTGGTTGTTGCATATCAGTCCTACTGACATCTAAAACCTCAAACAACATCACAATGCTTCTCTTGTAGCCATGAACCTTATACAGATCCAGACCTGGATGGCTGAATCACATCTCAGAAACCAGGTTGGTCTCCTGATCATGACAACTCTGCAAATAGTTTGACTGCAGAGCTGATTGAAGTAAAAGCTGCAACTACAGTACCTTCTAATATCCTTGCCTATGTCTCTAGATCTAAAAAGGATATACCCAAGTGCACGAGGCTCCCGTCAATGTGATGTATGGGGGGCACTGATGTACGCAGCCCTACCTTTGGTAGGTTTCCTGACTCATACCCTGATCTCCCAAGTCACAAAGGAACAATCTTACAATTGTATCAACCTTGATCTCCCTGGTCTACCTCTGTCTCTAGGCCTAATATCACAAAACCAAGTATCACATGACACATACTTAAAGTGATATTAGTGATTAAACCTGGTATACAGTAAACAAGGGGTATAAGATGTGAATGAATGTGGCCAGCACTTCCCATTCTATCGTACACTCCATGTCATTAAATCTCATGGGATCCTTATATGGCAACAGGCAGCAAGCCAAAACAAACTGTTACATGCTTATAGCTTATTGTTCTCTTTCTTCTGCTCTCTCCATCAAGTTCAAATTTGGTGCTAATATAATATAATGGAACTTGTTTAACAATTTCAGTTATACTGAAAAATACAAAAAAACAATAATATGGTGAATTTTGGCATGCAGGAAATGTACTAAGAGTCAAAAGTATAGTGTAACTAGGAAAATAAAAAAAACATTTATTTATTTTTATACTGCAAAGATCCCCAAACAAGAATAGAAAAAAAAAAATGAAGACTAAACGTTCAACATGAAGTTAAACATACGAGAACAATGAAGTCCTTTGTCTGACTATTTTCATCATCAATCTCTCTGTCCAAACCATCTCCCTGATTTGCACTACAAGCAAAAAAGATCCAATAAGAATAAGAAACCTAATAAGATGTTCCTACATTGTTGATGCATCCAAAATTACCTTCGTCCTATTACAAATCGTGCTACCACACCTTTTTCTGATTCCAATTTTTTCATTGCTGCACCTGGGAACAAAATGCAAGATGATCGGTACTCAGAGAGGCAAAGCATTCAAAAGAGTCATCATCACCAATGTAGAATTAAAAGAACACAATGCTTTTTACTTCCAATGTAGAATTAAAAAAACATGAGTATTTTTTCTTTTCTAGGAAAACAAGTAGGCATTATCACTTCATACTTTATAAATATGTCATACAAGTACATATATATCAGCAAAACTATCAACTATTTGAGATATCCTCTTCGAAAAGGTTGAGTTCCCACCATCCTCAACAAAGCTAGGGATGTTCACGAGATATGCCTAGAAGAGATGGCTCAATTGATACTCCATTGTTAAATTGTTGGACATTCTGTTTGTGAAATACTATCACCATGCAATTGGATGCCATCAAACATAAACTTGGAAGAAAGGTTTTCATCTGATTTTATGAAAGTCAAAGTTACTTTGTATGTCTATTCGAGACAACAAAGGTGACAATGTTCAGAATTTTTCTTTTTCCTGCAAAGTTAAGTGATGTAGGTGGGATTTGATTCCAAGACCTTGCGATGATCTGACAAACCCCTAAGCTAGCTAGCACCCTCATAATGTTCAGAATTGCTATAAGTAATTGCAAATTAAAAAAGAGATGGTTTATAAGTTTTATGATAAGCACAATCAAGAAGAGCAGAACATCATGAGTTACCCAAGAAACAGAAATTTCTTAGGAGAAAGAAGGCACGATAACTAAATAGCTTAACATGATACTACAGTAAAACCTTATGTTGAACGAGACAAAAGTATCTTGAACCTTTTTTCACAAAAGCCTTTGAAAATAATCTTCGCACAACCTTCCTAACAGCCAAATGTTATACCTCAGAACATCTAAGAATTTATCACATATAGTTAACCACAACCACCAAATTGCACTCAGTTGAGATGACCAACTTCTTGAAGGATAGTCCCGGAGTATAAGCATGTCTCTATGTGAGCATTTGCATGAATAAGTTCAATTACTTACTAATGAGGGAGGTAGGTTTCTCCACTTCATGATAAATGAACTCTAAAACAAATGATATGTTCCCAATCAATGCATTACTTTAATAAAAACTACAAAAATAATAAAAAGGGGCTTGTACTGCACCAGTTGACAGCCACGATTTTCGAACTGCATCCCTATGCTTTTTCCGTCCAAATTCTGTGACTATTCCTATAACAACCAGCAGCCTTTTCCTAGAATAAGTCCCATTGGTCTCTGAAGAGTACTGCCCAACAAAACCTTCATGTCTCGCCGCAGCAAGCTCCATCTCAAGTGCAGCTAATTTCTTCTGTTGGTGCCTGAACAACAGAATCTATGCATTTAATCACTGCACAATTTGGTTTCCTACTTCTCTAACTTGGGCCACATTGAACCGAAACAAGAATCTAAAAGCAACTCACCTGCAGGCTACTAACTTCAGCGTCTCGTCGACGGAAATAGCAGACTGACCCTGAAATTTTTGCATAATCAATCCCATGCTTCCTCAAATCTAATACCATGAGCCAAAATCGAAACTTTGAACACAATGATTCTCATTTTCACGAAACTGACGTAGATTCAAAAGGTCAGAACACAATCTAATATGCAGGAAAGAGAATAAGAACCTGCCCAGTCCTTCGATCGAGTTCTTTGATGAGATAAACCCTATTCTGCGCGTCCTGCCAAAGACTGTACAAAGAAAGATCAGGGCTTTAATTCAAGCTCCCATTTCGAGTCCGCAATAAACTCAAACCCTAAGATTGATTCAAAGATGGATAAGGAGAGGCGAAACAGACCGGCCGGCGACATAGAAGGTAGCCATGGTGGCGAACATCGACAGCATGATGGAGGAGATTCGGGAGAGAGGGCGGGGACCAGATCCCCGGCTCTGCATCGCTGCTGATGCTCTGCGTCTTCACCCTCCGTCGAGATCAGAACAGTGGACGCGGTCGAGCAGATCTCGTCAGTGTCTTCCCTCCATTGCGGAGTCGATGCATCGATCGGGTTCTTCCTTCAGATCTCTCACGATGCAATCGGCTTCTCTCTCTCTCTCTCTCTCTCTCTCTATATATATATATATATATATATATAATTTGTTTGGGGTAGCTGAGAGGAGAACGACTTGTCGCCTGCAATCGCAAGGTGAAAGAAAGGAGTCGTCGAGCTCATCATCATCATCATCATGGGAGCGAAGGTATCATTACCGGGTCGAATCCAAGTAGATCCGAATCCGACAAACATAAGAGAGAACCAAAGGGACCTAAGTATAGAATCGGATCTGATCGTTATCGGATTCCAACCGATTAACGGGTCGGGTGTCGAAATCATGCAATATATACGAGGATTCATTCCCGATTAGATATATTAGTAATTCCAAACCGTATAAAAAGACAATACGGAGTTTAAAAGTTTGTTCTATTAAGATTTAATTTATTTGAGTTTAAAAGTATTTAAATATTTAAAACACTCAAAATATTGGTAATATTTGTATATCTTAATGAGTTTTTAGAGTGTATTAATGTAAATTAGTGTTTCAATTAACAGTATAATTATAGTAACTAACGTAGATAACTAAATAAGATAGTTTTTTAGGTTTTGAAGATATTATGGACTCTACTGTAAAGCCATTGATTCTGAAATAATACTATAATGTAGTATTTTGTATGATTTTTTTAGAAAATTTTGAATATCTTTAGTCTTTTTTTATTCATATGGACGCGTCTATAGTATAAATCAATTGTATTTGTTATCGTGTTTTTAATTATATATAAAAAAAATTATAACACACTATAAAAATTATAACACAATGCAGTATAAAAATATCATTATATAATATATTTTTAGTATTATTGAAAATATTATAATTAGACCAGTCCATAAGAATATCGAAAATTCTCTTCCAAATTAATATGACAACCTAAATCAATCTTTCTCAAACTAAATAAGAAAAAATCCCTAATCATGTTGAGAAGTTAAGTGTATATGCATTTTTATATTTGTGTTGTTCCTCTGAGGTTGTTTTAAACTTGCTTAAAATTTGTTCTTCATTGTATTCAAGCCTTCATTAGTCTATATATGCATTCATTTCTTTAGGTGGCATTTGGTTTGTTATTCTAATAAAATTTGAGATCAAAATTGAAATTCAAAAAAAGAAAAAGAACAAATACTTTAGGATGTTTGGTTCATATAATTATTGTTATCTCCCCTGCATTTGTACCATATATTGATATCATATAATTAGTGTTTTGTTCTATACCTTTAATATATTTATATTATTATAGTTGTACTTTTTCAAATGGCTCATAAGCCACTTCATATAACATAATTAATTAAGCACATAAACCAACATTTTTAGTAAAATTATCCAATAAGAATATAAAAAAATATATAAATGATATATTCAAGAATTAGCTTTCCACAATGCACTCCATGCAAATACTAAAGACACCCAATAAAATAGAACGGCAATGGATATATTCTTCTCACTCTATTATCGATTACATCACAAATTCAATTAGTGAAAAAGTACTGTTGGGGAAAAAGAGGCCTGCGGTCGCAAAAATCTCCGACTGGAAGAAAAGAGTTCGAGCACTGACGCACTACTAGGGTTTCGGATGCAGGTACTTCCGGCCAGTTTCCTCCGGACGCAGCAACACCACCATCGCTAGGTTTTGGTGAAGAGAAGGAACATACAAAGAAGGAGAAGTAGACGACGATGACGTTGATGAATAGACCGCCGTACGTCTCTCTCTTGTTCAAAGCCCTCGCCTTCATCCCTCGCCGTCGTCCGGCCGATGCTGCCGTTTTTCTCTCAACCCATTCTTTTTCCGCCGCCTCCGGGGCTCCACAGAGCAGCTTCATGGCTGAATACCTGGTCAGCTCCTGTGGCTTCGATCCGGATGAGGCAGCCAAGGCCTCGAAGCTCCTTGGCCGCATCGAATCCCGCCATCAGCCTGACTCCGTCCTTGGCTTCTTCAAAAGCCACGGTTTTGATAATGCTCAGATGAAAAGGGTCCTATCTGTAAACCCCCGGTGGCTTCTCCTCGACGTGGAGAAGACTCTGACCCCAAAGTTCCGAGCTTTGCAGGATCTGGGCTTCTCCTGCTCCGACATTACCCACCTCGTCATCTCGAATAACGTCATCTTCAGAAACAAACTCCAGAACGTCTTGTCCAAGATCCAATTTTGGCAAGGCACCCTCGGGTCCAACGACTTACTGGTGAAGGTATGCAAGAGAAACAGGTGGTTTCTCGGGTATAGCATCGAGAAGAAGATCCAGCCTAACATTGAGCTTCTTAGGGATTTCGGGATCACGGATCAGAAGCTCTCAAAGATCCTACGGTACCGCCCCCTCCTCATTGCCCAGAAGGCTGAAACCCTGAAGGCGTTAATCAGTCGTGCCGAGGGTTTGGGAGTAGCTCGCACCTCAGGGATGTTCCTCCCGACCCTGAATGTGCTCAACGGCGTCTCCGAGAAGAACTTCAAGGCTCACTTGGAGTTCTTCAAGGGTTTCGGGTGGTCCGAGGATGATTTCCTTGCTGCATTCAGAATGGCTCCTTCGCTTGTGGCATTTTCTTTAAAGAGTTTGCAGAGAAAGATGGAGTTCTTAGTAAATGAAACCAGATGCGCTCCGTCTTATCTTGCACGCCGGCCACGGATTTTGTCGTTTAGTTTGGAGAAAAGGTTGATTCCAAGGTATCGGATATTGACGGGCCTGAAGTCAAGGGGAGTTCACATCGGTAACCTCCAAATGAACACATACATGTTTTATCCAGAGAAGAAATATCTGGAGAGGTTCGTCATCCGCCACAAGGAGTTTCCAGAACTCATTGAATTGTATAATGTAGCCCCAAAAAACCAAACTGCTCTTTGATCCTGCAAGTGCATAACGCATGGTGCAAGGTATTGTACCCGAAACTTGTGTTTCTAGGTTCTAATTTTCCACTGTCTGCATTACTGTTTGCATCCATGTAGTGTGATTCCTGCCATTCAACTTTAATTTGCAGTTTGCAACCAAATAATTCCTGCCATTTACTTTTTTTCTTTGTGAATGTAAGATGAACTTGGATGGACACATGTAGCAAGAAAATGAAGAATGATGAGAAGATTTGCAATGATGTTGTCGATATAGTTAATTGCTTGTTGATAATCACTTTCTGTAGATGTGGTTGTTATTCTTGCCCTGTTTGTTTTAAGTCTACTGGAAGATATCAGACTTATGTAGGTTGTTCGACACCTAAATGTTTTAATTGATTTGGCTATGGATATTTGGTTAATTTTCGAAATGATAAGAAGTAGGATTCTTTTGGATGACTGGATAGTACGCTTAAGTGATTTTTAGGTGGAGGATGAAGCTTTTGATTTAGGGTAAGGGTCAGTCACCTTTTATATAACTTTGTTACTCTCCTATCCAAATCCAAAACCCAAAAAAGAGAAATGATGTCCAGTATCATCCTCTTTTTGTGTATTTTGTTTGTCAAATTTTGTTCTCTTTCTTAATTGATTAGTTTGATGAACAAGATTGACAGCATTAGTAGGCAGTTTCGAATGGGATTAGTAGTCTTCCAACATGATGATAAGAGATTGTAGACGTGTTTCTACCATTGTGAGTGGTGCACCATTCCATTCGAGTAATGAAGTAATAGCTTGGAATGTGATATGAATTGAGTTCTTAATCTATAAGGAGCTTGTTTCATCCCGAGTGGTTGGACAAGTTCTGTTACAGCTAAGCGCATTGCTGGATGTGCTTTTCTCATGAAGAAAGTATGAGATCTTCTATTCTAGTTTATGCTTGCCTTTTCATATTATGATTCTTATAACCTGATTGCGTGACACATGATTAGATTTCTTGACGTCCTGTTTCTACTAAGATAATCCCTAGCGAGCTGAAAATTACATATTTCAGATGGTCCATAGCTAGGGAGCTTAGGATTGAAGAAGTGTTCTGTTCCGGCTGGATGAAATCCTTAGCTGATTATCTAATAAAATTATATTTAGACGTTTACTATATTAATTATGATGTGACTTGATGGGATGTTTTTTCAATTGTTGGCAATGAGTATTATTATTTTGCTCTGTGTATTACTGATGTTTGGATGATTTTTTCCTCTCCTCTTATGACTTGGACAGATTGAGCACAACATGTTCTTATCAATCCAAAATACGTGGGTGTTAGCTCGGTTTGCAGAGTGTTTGGTGCAAATGAAGTGAATTAACAGTGTTCTCAGAAATTGCCCTTCTAGCAGGTGTTACTGTCCAGAGGTTGGCATATGCAGTGTGCTAGTTCGATTACAATAGTAAGGCTATGTTGAACAAATTGGGAAAGTAAATATAATTCTAGGAGCTACTTTTATAGGCAAAATTCAGCCATTGCCCAGTCTTCAGGAATGAAAGAGAAATGAGACTCGCTGGCTTCTTGTAAATCAATTTCACCCTTCCCAAAATGTATTTTGTCCACTGTCATATGATACCAACTTCAACCTTCCCAAAATGAAGTAAAAAAACCCTTCCCAAAATGTATTTTGCCCGCTGTCAAACTCGAGTCAAGATATTTCTGACAGTTTGAATCTTTAATTATATTTATGATATATAGTTATAGTGGTTTATGCACTATGAAAATCCAAATTTTCAACTTTTTTGGCTTTTGCTACTGTATGTTTCTTTTGCATCCTTTATTGGGTATCTTCTTATTGTCATATCTGCAAGAGCTATATGACAAAAAGGTGATCTGCAAGTCAAGTGCAGGTTGTTTTTATGTTACATACTTGAGCTTCAATGTGACTATAAAGCATCTCTAAATTTATTGCCAAATAGCAACATGTAATCTGGAATTTAATTGCAGCCCTTTGTTCGCCAGATTCTTTTATATGCTACTCTGTTGTTTTATAGCAGCTAGTCTCAGCTCTATATCTGAATGTCTTTCGGTGTGTTCGTTTTATTAACATGTTGATGTATTGTTGTCTCTGGACAAATAAATCAAAATAATCTTCCCTGAGGCATTGTAGCATGCTAATTCTTTTGCTTTGTGCTTTCTTTTAGGTTTTGATGCATCATTGGCCCTGGAGAAATGATGGTCACAGCATCTTTTGCAGCTAGGTAATCTGTCAAATTAAACAGAAGCACTGGTTATTCTTGTGACAGAAATTGGAATTTTCTGGATAATTTTTCATCTTCGTAAGTCGTCAGGATCAACAGACGCCATAGAGGATTTGCACCCTAATACTTGTTGATCATCGTAGAAATGTTTTTCTGTCAAATGCTTGACTTGTTATCAGCGAAGAATTATATATGTACTTTCCTGCCTAAGAACTAGTTGATGGATAAGGCATCTAGTTGCTGGATGGAGATGTTTTCTAACAAAAGTTCTTGCAGTAGCAAAAAGACTAATTCTCTTTGTAAGTTTTGTTAATTTTTGTGGGGAATTTTGTCTTTAAAAGGACTGAGATCCTTTCAACCTGTAGAACTACATATATATATATATATATATATATATATATATATATATATATATATATATAGTATTTATTTAGATTACCACTTTAGATTAGCTGATTTAGATCATTTGTCGGCAAATTAAGCAGATTTTATCAGAAGAGATTCTAACTAAACTGGCACGAATAATCTTTGGTCTCTTCGATATTTGCCCGCATAAATTTGCTGATTTGGTAGCTAATTTACAGTGTTGAAGATATTTTGTACATAAATTTCATGGACAGTTAATGCAGAAAAATAGAAAAGAAAAATTCTTGAAATTTTTTTAAGCATTTGAATTTGCAGGTAAATTATTCACGCAACAACAATAAAAATAAAACTGTAAGTTTCAATTATTGGGGTCAACTATATGTAAAAAATTATATGCTTAGTTAAGTTTAAAATTATATGCTGACTTTCGAAGGAATTTGTTAGTACAGTTGTTTTCGGTTTAGAAATCAACTTCAATTTCCGAACAAAATTCGTATTATTACAGCTTAAATCTTGTCGATTTTTAGAGATAGATAGAAATGTTCTATAAAATTTCTCAAAATTAAAGATTTTTTCGGAAATTCATGTTATAAATAGAACGGTGGATAATAAGCTCAACATTCGCCTCCTCTATTGGCCCAATCGGCCCATGGGCGGCGTCACGTGTTGCTTTCACGTGGTTCACGTGCCTCGTGGATTACTACGTATATTACCATCAGTCGTAGGTGATCGGAACGGCCACTCCGACTTTCACGAATCTTAAGGCAGCGCCACATCAGCCGATCTTCTATCCAACGGCCACTCCGGAACACGGTGCGGCGGATCTCACGACATGGCGTTAAATATAATCACAACAGGAGAAGAATACATGCGGGTCCCATCGGACCCACCCTATTGTGTTTGATGATGGTACCGGTTGATTCGTGGGCATTAGAAAACGAGTAGCCAAAAAAAATACCCTAAAAGAGTGAGGATTCTGTCCGATTGCTACTCTACAATTGTGATCGGAATCGATCTGGACGGTTAACGAAGTGGGCCGATGGAGAATGAACGGTTATGATGTGACGGATATAGTATTCGTTGTAAGCGTGGTTGGAGAGGAGCATTATCTTGGTCACTCGACGGACTTATCAGACATCGCCGCTCTCTCGCGGCGTGCGTGGTCGCTGTTCCCTTCTCGCGTCGTTGGCGATCGATCGATTGATCTGGAACTTCCCATCCCTGGTCGATCGGGTAGCCGCCGGATCGGAAAGATGAACGACGCGGATGTCTCTAAGCAGATCCAGCAGATGGTGCGGTTCATCCGCCAGGAGGCCGAGGAGAAGGCCAACGAGATCTCGATCTCCGCTGAAGAGGTCTTCCCATCGCGCTTCCCCCTATTGCCCTTTGATTTCCCTTTTTTTTTTCCGACCCAGGTTCTTAGGTTCTCGATTGGTTTCCCCGTCGTTGCTCTTGTTTCGGGCATGATCGATTGAGGGAGAGTTCTAGTTAGAAAAGAAGAGGGGTTTTATTAGAGTAAGAGATTTATGTTCGAATTAATCGATGAGTCGAGTACACTCCCAATTTTTATAAGATCAACCAGCTTAAGTGGGATTTTCTACCTCATGGAACGTAAATTACGTATAAGATATGCTTTATCTTTCAGATTGGAAATGCTTGGATGAAGGATTTGAGTTTATTTGATATTAGTACTTCGTTTGAGGGTAAATAAAAGGAAAAAATAATACGACTTTGGAATCTGGAAGTGATATTGATGAAGCTGAAAATGATGCGATTTAGATAAACAATATTCTTGCACTTAAAGCTATCGCACATCTGTCAGAGATTTATTTGTAGTGGAATCCTTTTACAGGACCTTTTGTGTTTATGATGAAATTGTAGTCTTGTGTGTTGCCTTGGTATGGATAATTATGCCAGGTGTACTATTTTCGTTGCAGCTCTATTTTCCATTCACTGCTCTTTTGATATTGACATTTACGATTTTCTTATTTCTTTGGGGGGTTAAATTAAAGTGTGTGTTCCATGCTCTTGTACATTCTAGGAATTTAACATTGAAAAGCTGCAACTTGTTGAAGCTGAAATGAAGAAGATCAGGCAGGAATATGAACGAAAAGAGAAGCAAGTCGAAATTCGGAAGAAAATGTAACTTAGATATTTCTTCTTTGTTTTTTTTATTCTAATGCATACTTTTTCTCAATTTTCTGATCCGTAATCTTCTTTGAGCGATTTGTTATTTACACGTAGATTTGTACCCTTTGTTTGATAATTATCTTGGAAGACTGCAACTTACTTATCTTTTAGTATGCTGGTTCTGAAATTGATTCTCGTACAGGATGAAATGAACTATTTAGTTCCAAACTGAACTATGTTTGTACTTATGGAATGATATTTTTTTAATTTCGGTTGAAGATTCCTTGTTAAGGGATGGGAAAAATTCATTCCTTGCGTTCATTATGTTTTTATCATCTTTCTTTGTGTTTGTTTAACATAACTTTGTTCCTTTTTCTTGGAGCTACTTCACCTTATCCATGGCTGGCAAGTATAGGTCTGTGGTTATATAGTCACTAAGCGTTTTTATTTAAGGATAGAGTGAAGAAGGCATGAAACTATTCAAAAATTATCCACATTCAGCTGTTAGATGCAAAGCTTCCCTAGGGGCAAAAATAAAATCATAAATAAATGTGGTGAATTCAAGTGATTGCTTCATATACCTGTAAAGGTCAAGTGCACCAATGTAGCCAGCAGCACAGAGCTGGCAGTCTGACAAAACTTACCACATAAAAGCTCAAAATGAATGATACTTGAAACTTCTTCCTCTTCCTCTTGAATTTTATGAGATTGCTAATCATTATCACAATATACCTTCAAAATTTGAAACTTTAACATCACATTGCTCTGTTATGTTGTTAAGCAAATAATTTTTTTTTTCAGGTAACTTAGGATGTCAAATTATGAAGGAAGAATGTGGTTTGTTGCAAGATACTCAATGCTTAATCAAATAATAATTCATATGAATTTATGTTTACTCCATTAGTCTTTTACCACCTGTATATAGAGAAAGAGAAGCTGAATGTTCTATAGGTGACCACTAACTACTACGTTGGGCATAAATTTACCAGTTAGCTGTCATATGATGGGAACACTAATGCAATTAAAATAACACACCAATTCACTGTCAGGTCTATTTTTTGTTTATGAAATAAACAAAGAAAACACAATATACAAGTATGTACACACTATAACTAACTTATACGAGATGGATTTCTTTTCTAAGTCACTATTGCTTAGGTATATTATCTATATGGTCATAACCAGTGATTTGACAGTTTCCCCTGTTGTTTTCTACAGTGAATATTCTATGCAGCTGAATGCATCTCGTATTAAAGTTCTTCAAGCTCAAGATGATTTAGTCAACTCCATGAAAGAGGATGCTGCAAAGGAGCTTCTGAATGTCAGCCATCATCATCATATCCTGAATGTCACCCACCATGATCATGAATACAAACACCTTTTGAAAGAACTCATTGTTCAGGTAGGTTTCTGCATTTTTTTTCTTCTAGTTACTGACAGGATAGCACCATTGTATTGGGAATATATACTGACAGAAGTGGTGAATCATAGGGATATAGAATGATGGAACTGGTGTAACTGGCATAATTCTTCAATCTAGATGATGATGTATATGTCATAAAATGTTTCCTACAATTAGCTAAACAAAGATGTGATATGGCAATCGCTGTGACTATCTCCCTGAGATTTCTATGATTTCCTGTGAATGGTCAAACACCATTTGCTTCATGTCTTTATGTTAAACTGTGATAGTTTTTATTGATCAATATAGCAATATTGTCTGAATATCCCAAACTTATATACGTAAGCTGAAATATTTATCCCTTCAGAGCTTGCTGAGATTGAAAGAACCGGCTGTTCTCTTGCGCTGTCGTAAAGATGATGCTCATCTTGTGGAGTCCGCTCTGGAATCAGCAAAAGAGGATTATGCAGCTAAAGCAAATGTTCATCCTCCAGATATCATCATAGACCACAAAGTCTACCTGCCACCTGCTCCGAGCCACCACCATGCTCATGGTCCCTCTTGGTAATTCACTGTCCATGGAGTGTTTTGAAATTCTAGTGATATCAAATTTACAGCTGTTTCAGAGGAGTTGAACCAATTTGTCATGAGGATGAGACCTACCCTTATAAAATGTCCTAGTCATCTGGATGTTTAAAATGTTTAGTCTTTTTCTATTCTTAAGTGTCTTTTTAAACAATAAGAAGCTCTGAGATACCTTAAAACTTTTAGTGATTGCTCAGTGTCCCTATATTGAATAGTTAACCATGTGTGATATATTAGATATCCAGAAGACATTTCAACATTAAACTTGCACAATCTTGTGCATGAATTTGGGTCAGACTAAACAAATCAATAATGGTAACCAAATTGTGACTAATGATTTTCTTTATAACATTGGTTCTAATATCTTGTAGGAGCTTTATATACAAGGTGTTCTAGGTGATGTTAATAATGTTAGGCGCCAGTTATATAGTCTATTGTATGTTGGTTTGGGATTTTAATACTTTGATCTTATTTTTTATCTACCAACTTGGAACTATTCCATAACAAATGGCAGGGACACTTAGGCTTCAAATTGGGGCCAAAAGATACACTATTTCAAAGCCTGAAACCTTTTTGTTTGTATTTTCAATAGCTTACCCATTTGTGGTTTTTTTATTGCAATCCAATTTTTAGATATGTTACCCATTTTGTTTCATTGTCTTTCCAATCAGACTTGACCTTTTTAGTCCCTGGCAATATTAAAGATTCTAATCACAACAGGTAGTGCTTACCCTTTTTCTGGCCTGTACTTACCATCTCTCGTTAGTGCCCCATTTGCGAGGATCTCTATTATCGTAGCATTCGAGTTCTATCTCCAGAGACATATTTACAAGACACCCGTTCACCACAATTGTGCTAAGAGTTCCAGTTTCATATTCCTTCTATTCTGTATTCCCTTCATTATCAGAGTGTAATCCTCCACCTCAGAAGCTGATGTGTGCTGCATGCTTATATCATGAAGTTCTGTTAGCCAGGGCTTTATGTAAAGTTAATATGATCCAACTTGTGTTATATTTGGGTCCAAATCTGGTGTTTGAAACTACTGTTTTGATTGTAACTTCACTGGTCATAATTTCAATCTGTATGCAACAATCTTGTGCACTTCTCAATTATTATGGTTCATATTTTCAAGGTTGAAGAGTACACAATGATCAGTCTTTAACAGATTCTTTGTTTCTTATTCGTTGAGGTCATTTTGCATTTATATTTGAGAGAGAATGAGTTTGTGATCACCATCTGTCTATTGAAAGCTTTAACAACCAAGTAAAAGATTTATGCTGATGAGAAGGTTTGTTTATTCAGCTCTGGTGGTGTCGTCCTGGCTTCTATAGATGGGAAGATTGTTTGTGAGAATACACTTGATGCAAGACTGGATGTTGCCTTCCGCAAGAAACTGCCTGAGGTGCTCACTTATTTTCACATGTTCATCCTGTGCATTCTTTTATTTTCGTGAGGTGAATGCCTAGGAAGACCAAGTTTTTTTATGTCTTTTCAAGTGGAATCACTATATACTGGAAATTTTATATTATCACTTTGTTGATTTTGAAGCCAAGTTTCATGCAGGTTATTTAGCAAGTTTTAAGACTATTTAATGGTTGTTTCAACTTTCAACCCTAATCTAGTTTTGTGTTAACACTCATCACATTATCATGTCATTGGTGTCATGTTTGTCAAGTTCTCGTGGCAACGCACAGTTGTTCTCCATGAAGGCCACACTTTCCAAGATTGTCTTTTGTTATTGTCAGATCTAATTTAATGGGACGGCACTTGCGTTGGCAGTTTGCTAAATCAATTCTTGTTGATCGCAGATAAGGAAGAGTCTTTATGGCCAGGTCGTTGCTTGATCAAATGGGTGTAATCGATGCTACATGTATCCTTTGCCTCAGAGATGCGAGATGGCTTATCCATCACTAGAGCAGTTATATATGTTTTGCTTTGTCTGGATTTAAGTGCTTTGATCACTCAGTGGTGAGATACTTGTTCATCCAATAATGTAATGACTATCACATTTGTATTGTATTTCTTATGGTCGCTGGACCAAATATTTTGGTGTCATTTCTTTGCATTATGCTGGATTAGAAAACTGAAAAGTGATCATTTTACCAATTATCAGCTTTATTTTTTCCAAGAGAAACAAAGAATTACAACAATATTGTGGTAGTAGCTGATAAAGTGATGATCAGAGAATCTAAATTGGCCCAATACTGCAATGACTCTCTCGGCGTGCTTCCTCCACCGATACCCCCATCGTCGAGGATGTCATTAGCACTCCTCGCCTCAAAAACGAGCCTCGGTCTGCTCAGCTTCTTCGGCTCCGTCGCCTTCTCTCGCGCTCGGCCGTCCGCCATGCTCGGTATAAGCAGCACCGAAGAAGCCCAGAAAACGAAGTAGGCTGTTTTGGTTCCTATGGCACGTGCTGATACCCGTGAGAAGAGCTGGGTGGCGGCGCGAGCTGGGCTGAGGAGGGGAGAGCGGACCATCGTCGGTGCTTCTCCTTCCGAGGTTTCCATTGGAGTTGCACCAGACGATTAGAATAACTACGAGCCGGGAGTGCTGCTGCTGCGGGATTACATATAGCCAGAGAGAGAGAGAGAGAGAGGTGGTCCCCATCGCAAGGTGACTAGTCACCGGAGAGAGCCGAATCAAATTTTGCCACGAATCTTAAGGCATAAAGCCGAGCACGAATATTGTAGCATGACGAATCACCAAGCGTGACGGCAGTTTGCGTCACGGAGTTCTGCGTCTCATCCGCCCCTCCGATTAAAGAGTCGGCCGAGACGCCCGTGCGGGCTGAAAGATGAGGCTGGCAAAGAACCCGTCGTTGACGACTCTCCGCTGCCGCCCCTCCCATGCCCGTCTTGCATCTGCTGCCGCCTCGACCGACAGCCATGGTAGCGACGGCGAGCACCTCCGCTCCGAGAAGGCCTCCCTCCGCAGCTGTAACGACACACTCCGTTCGCTCCTCCGCTCCGCCGTCCGCCGCCACCACGCCGAAGCCCTGTCCGTCCTTCGCGGCATGCTCGCCCCTGACTCCACCTGCCGACCCGACTCCAACACCTGCGCGATCGTGTTCTCCAGCTGGTCGAAGCAGAGCCTGCCCCTGGACAACGAGGCCCTCGGCCTCCTCGTCCAGATGGCCAATATGGGATTCTTCCCGACGGACGCCTTCCATTTCACCCAGCTCGTCAGCAGGCTCTGCCGCTCTGGCGCCACCTCCGCGGCCTGGGATTTCCTTCACGCGGTTAAGGATGCCGGCGGCGCCGTCGAGACCCCGGCGTGCAACGCCCTCTTGACTGGTCTTGCCGCAGCACGAGACTTTGCAAGGATGAACTTTTTGTTCTCGGAGATGAAGGGAATGGGCGTCCGACCCAGTGTGGTCACCTTTGGCATACTCATCAATCATCTTTGCAAATCCCGCCGCCTGGATGAGGCGATGAAGGTGTTCGACGTAATGACGAGCCCAGAGTCGGGAGTCAGCCCCGACACAGTCACTTTCAACACGCTCATTGACGGGTTCTGCAAGGTCGGGAGGCTTCACGATGGGTTATCCTTGCTCAATACAATGAGATCGAGCTACGATTGCAAGCCGGACACCGTAACATACAATAGCCTGATCGATGGGTTCTGTAAGTCAGGGGAGATCGATATGGCTCACGAATTGTTCGTCAGGATGGAGAAAGAAGGGATACCTCCAAATGTGATCACACTCAACACGCTTGTCTGTGGAATGTGTAGGCATGGAAGGATCGGTAGCGCCCATGATTTCTTTCGGAGGAAACAGGTGGAGTGGCCACAAGTCAAAGGCAATGTTGTAACCTATAGCACTCTGGTGGGAGCATTCCTGCATTCGAATAATGTGGGCAAGGCAATGGATTTGGTCGATGAAATGCATAGGGAAGGGCATTCTCCCGATTCTGTGACATACTTCACTCTGATCTCTGGGTTGACACAGGTGGGCAGATTGGACGATGCTTGTTCGGTTGCGTCTTCCATGAGGGAGAATGGCTTTCGATTAGATACAAAGAGCTATAACACTTTGATCAGTGGATTCTGCAAGAAGAAGAGGTTGGATGAGGCAGGTGAGGTGCTCCGTGAGATGTGTGAGGCTGGGCTCAAACCTGATGCCTTCACTTACAATACTTTGATTGCTGCTTCGTGCAAGGCTGGGGATTTCGCCACAGTGAATCAGTTGCTGAACAAAATGGTGGATGATGGTTGCAAGCTTTCTGTGGTCACATATGGAGCTCTGATCAATGGTTACTGCAAAGCCGGTGAGCTGGACCAGGCCATGAAGACCTTTGAGAACTTGGGTGCTTCGATGGTGCCAGCCAACACAGTCATTTACAACATTCTTATCGATTCTCTCTGCAAGAATAAGAAAGTTGACATCGCGGTATCCCTCGTCGAGGAGATGCAGGTGAAGGGTGTCCCTCCAAGTGTGACCACATACAATGCCATATTCAAGGGGCTCCGAGATCGCCATATGTCCGACAAAGCCTTTAAGCTTATGGATCGAATGAGCGAACAGGGATGTAAACCTGACTGCGTTACGATGGATGTTCTTACGGAGTGGTTGACGGCAATTGGTGAAATGGAGAGACTGAAACGCTTCGTGCAACGAATGACACCTCAGGGTGAGTCTCCTTATCCTAATGCTGTTGCAGGCTTGTAATTTGTGTTTCTTTGACATGAGTTTGTGCAAGAAGGGAAGCCAACTGGTATGAGTATTGATGAAGCTCTCAGATATAACTTGAAATCCAGTATAAGTTGTTTGCTTGACACTGCATTATAATCGCGACATGTATTGATCTTGCATGTAACAACTGCTGAAAAAGATAAGTCTACAACTTGCGACATGTATTGATCTTGCATGCTCCAAGAAGAAGGTGAAAGATAGAAGCCAAGCATCAACAGAGAGTGGATTATTTATGAGACCGACACAACTAAGGAGCTAATGGAACTGGAGGTCGACGGAGAGTGGCATCTTGGGTTCCATCTTACACTAATGTGCAAGGTAGAGGCAAACTATCATACACTGATTAGTCTTACATTTGAAGTAGTAATATATATGTAGCTACCTCACCTGCAAAAATTTGTGTCTTTGAGTAGTTTGGAAAGCTTTGCTCGTGTATTTTTCTAACTTGAATCTTGACAAATATGGGATTGAGCTAATAATTATTTTGATCGATGTAAATGGTGATGACAATGTGGTAAACCGTTGATGATCTCGTTCCATGCCATTGTCGAGCTAATAATTTGTTGACTAATCTTGCTTTGTTTCAAGATGAGAAATATCTTGATGTTGTTCCACATAAATAGTATTTTTTTTTAATAGGCTTTTTCTTTCTCATGATCTCTAAAGCTTTAGGTTTTGATTCCTAATTTGCAAGGCATTGAAGAAACCAAGGAGATTGAGATGACCGAAAAGACCAAGATGATCGAGAGAGACGGGATGTTCCCAAGAGGTTCGATGTCAACAAATCAACATCTTAGAAAATTGGTGTGGCTTTTCCCGAAGAAAAATTAGTTTCATTACTTGAAAAAATGAATTCCATATGAATCCAATCCTAGATGTTAGCATAAATAAATAAATAAATAAAAAGTAACAGGTCACGCTTGCCTTTGGACAAAATTTGACTTAATCATTTGACATAATTTGCAAGTCAATAAGCACATTTGATGCCTTCCTGTTGAATTAGAGAGATTTTAGTACATGGAAAGCCCGTTGAGTTAGAGAGAATGTTGACGAACTATGAACCTCTCGATATCCATCGAGATGAACACGATCAGGTCGGTTTTCTAATCCCTCAACGCCTTTACTCGATCCTGAGGTGAATCAATTGTTGGAGACGTCGGTGGGTGAAACATCTGCTCTACAGAGACCGAGGACACCATCGAGAATGCTTATGGTGGTGAGTCTAACTAGTTTTTCTTCATTATCCTTTTTCACCCTTCTGAACCTTTTTCTTTTGCAGAACTCTCCACTGAACGTCAAGACTGACATGCATTCTTTCTTTTCTTTTTCTTTTTTGAACTTTCTCTCTCAAATGTTCACACCTAAAATCATTTTGTTAGTGATTTTCTCTAACAAAATCACTAAGCCTCAATTACTATTTGAAGTGCTTAAAATTTTATTTATATTTTATTAAAATCTTTTAAGTTTTTTTTATTTCTCATCATATAATTAATATTAATTATTTCATATCTTTTTATTACCAGGAGGTTTCTTCAATATATGTTCATATTATCTTAGATGATTTTTTTTCATCTTATCCTCTATCAAAATGATATCTAGTTGTTCGTAAAGAAAAGTATTTCTATTTCTTTTTTAGTAACTTTATATATCCATCTTAATAAAAAAGTATTTTTATTTTTTATTTTTATTTTGTTATGTCGAATAGGATGTGTCATTCACCGTATTTTATAAGTGTTGTAACATAGAACTTCTACCCATAAGGCCCTAATCCTACGCCAACTTCTCGATCAAATTCCAATCCTAATCTCGAATCGAAGAAGATGGGAGGACTGAAGGGAAGGGGAGATCGGGAGGGGCGGAGCGGAGGCGGGTCGCTCTCCCGCCCAACAACGCGACGCCGATAAATGAAGTGTAACCGACGCTACATCACATACAAGTTTCTCTCTAACGGACGCCACGTGACGTTCGTCGTCAAGTAACAGTTTCTGGCAATGTTCAACGTTAGCCTCGAATCTAGAACAACCCAGTAGCAACCATTCTTTCCACTCCTTTTTTGACACCCGATTAAATTACCTTTGCATCTACATATGGGACCCGGTGTGGGCCTTGCTTTCGGTCGTTGCTACTTGAGAGCTACGTTTTGGGGTGCATGACAAGAGGGGGTGTCGACATTTTAACTGGTGCCGTTACGCCTCTGTTTTCTCTCGAGCAATCACGGCAGATCTGCTTGCTGCGGCTGGTGGTCGCGTTCCGACCATTCCCCATGTCCATGGCGGCTCGTGCTGCGTCCTCGCTTCTGCTACTGCTTCTCCTGCTGCCGTGTCTCCTCCAGCTCGCCTCGATCTCGTGCCTCGCTTCCCCCACCGGTGGCCGCCGGGGACTCCTCGCGTACGTGCCCGCCAGGAAACGGGCGGGCATCGGCGGCGGGAGGGGCGCCGACTGCCTTGCGATGACGTCGAGGAAGGCGTGCCTCGGCCGGTCCGAGTGGTGCCGGTGGTGCCGAAGCGACGCCCTCGACGACATGTGCTTCGGATCCGCGGAGGCGTGGCGGCTCCCTCGCCAGATCTTCTCTTGCGAGGCGCCCGATGCGTGAACTCCCCCCACCGTTTTCCTTTTAGTTTTCCGTGCCCTCCTCACTTGAATCATTTCTGCTATGTGCTTGTCGGATTGCAGACTCTTACAGTTTCTGCGAGCAGTATTCTCCTCTTAATCCTATGATCGTTCTGCTACTCTATTTGTCCTCGATGATTTTGGCTTGATCCATTGGACATAGAATTATGCTCTCTCTCTTTCATTGCAGATTCATCGAAAAGTATCTGTAAGAAGTTATACTTCTATTCATCTAATGTGCTTCAAAACATGAGGAGGACGAACAAAAAATTGTGGCATTCTACTGGAGGACACATATTCTTGATAGGAAATATGCCGTTGGCATCAAGATTTCATCTTCTTCGACTGTGAAATTTCCTTGTTTGAGAAGTTGACGTCGGTAGGTGCATTTCGTGTTGTGTCTTGGTGAAATTTCATTGTGGAAAGAAAGAAATGCTTAGTTTTCAATCAGAAACAGGGCTCTTAATTCTGCACGAACATGTTCTTCGGATAGACTTATAGGTAATCCGAGGCGATCTGATATCAAGTGTTTTCATTTTATCATCAATGGCCTCTTAAATTCGAGGAAGATGTTCTGTAGCTAATTTTGCAGATTGATCTGAGGCAATCTGGTATGTATTGATTGTATCGGATGCGTGTTGCATTAAGGCCCAAAGGCTTAGTTTTCAATCAGTAATGTTCTTCGAATAATCTTGTAGATGTTCTTGTATCAAGTGTACCTGGATCAGTATCTTGAATTTGTTTTGCATTCCGTTCCATTATTCACTGCCGAAAGGCTTAGTTTTCGATTAGTAATATCTCTTGGTTTTGTAGGAAGATGTTCTTTAGATAAACTCATCGAATTATCGAAATATGTTTTGTAGGAAATGTTACGCACGTAACTGAAATTATCAAAATCGTGAGGTACATTTATGTTATCCGTCCGTAAAGCATTAGTCTAGTTGTAATATTGCTGAGATTCCAAAGGACTCGTAAGAGAGCAAATTGATTAGTTCAAAAAACAAGCGATGAATAAGTTCTGATATCTCATAAAGAGGATAATTTTATAAGTAATTCAGCAAACGCTTGTGTGTAAGAGAGAATACGAAGGAGAAGCAAGAACTCTATAAGGTAAACGAGCAATCGCAAGTTCACAAACGATTGCACACTGACTTGTTGAGCATGTTAACAAGTCTCCGTAGTCTTTTACATGAGAACTTGCAAATCAAATCAACGCCCAACATTATTTTGAATCGCCATCAAGTCTTATGCCGCTCAAGTGGTTCTAAGGAGCTGAGAGGGTTAACATTTTGCTATGCATCGTAGTATGTAAAAAACAGGTTATGATAAGTAAAAATTGAGCCATCGTGGAATAGTTTTGTTCATTCTAGTGAGCAATCACTCTGTAGCTTTGCAAACTGATCATGCCTACGATTTTTAGGTAAAAACATAAAAAATCATGTTACCAAACTATTGTACAAGCAAACAAAAACAACAAATAATCTATTGATGAAGGTGTTGCGAGCGTGTGACGATAGTCCATGATCGAAAAGTAAAATTTTTCAATGAGGAATAGGACTCTTAACGTTGGAAGATACTCTTCGGACACACTTGTAGATAATCCAAAGCAATCAATACCAATCGTTATCGTTTCCGACTCAGTGTATGTGGACGTATATTGCGTCGTGTTACAGCGTTTACTTCCGAAATGCTTAGTTCAATCCAGTAATAGGTCTTTAAGTCCACAGGAAGATGTTATTTAAATGTACTTCAATTGTCATCGGGACGATCTCTGGCATCGAGTGTTTCTGACCGAGTACATGGATGCATTTTGCTTTCCGTTCCAACAATCGCCGCCGAAAGGCAACGGAGCTCTTAATTCCGGAGGAAGCTGAGCTTTGGATAAACTTGTGTACGTAACAACCGGCAATCAATCTGAAATCAAGCGTTTCTGATGCATTGTTTGTATTCACTGCCTCTTAATTCTGCATGAAAATATTCTTGGAATACACATGATGTAAATAATTCCAGGCATTGTGTTACAGAAATCGCTATGGAAAGGCTTAGTTTAGAATGCATGAATTGTTGTCTAAACATACTCGTGATAGGGCATATTCTGCCTTCTTGTTTCCTTGGAGTCTTTGTGGAATGTTGAGATTCATAGCATATACCCGGTTTTGCGATCGATCGATCCTTTTCGTATCATCGAAGCATTGGATTTGATTTAAGATGTCGGATTTGAATGATGCAACAGGCGGTTCCTTGTTTGCCTTCCTCTGCAACTCCTTTCTGCCTCCTTTTCTTGGCCATGGAGGAAAGAAGACTTTGAACAGGGGCACCGAGAATGCCTTTCTTGTAGGAAGGAATCCTCCTCCCTCCTCTGTGCTCCTTAAAACCATGTCGTCTCCTCCACTGAATCTATCATACTTGTCACCATCCATAATTCTCATAGCTCGGTGAGGAGGAAGATGGGTGTCGTAGTCGCCATGGCCAGGCATCTTGATGCATTGATCGGGTGAGACATATGATCTGATATTAATGCAGCAGTTAGGCTTCATGTTTCTGGCACTAATGATCTGTGTATGTGTCAGCCCTGTGGTGATGCTGCTTTATCCTCTGTAAGCGCCACTCTCTTCTTCTTCTTCTTCTTCTTCTTCTTCTTCTTCTTCTTGTGCATATCATTCTTCGTCTCATCGGGTTATACGTGATGCAGATACGCATCGATGCGGGCGATCGAGAGCCCTTCGCCTGTTGATGACCAGCAGTGGCTGACCTATTGGGTGCTCTACTCGCTCATCACCCTCTTCGAGCTCTCCTGCTGGACAATGCTACAGTGGTAACCAAACACACCCCGTCAGAGGTCGACTGCAGAATCTCTTTTTACCGACCATTAACGTTAAATTAAAAATACTTTAAATTGAAATTTTATACCCTATCGTTTATTATTAATTTTCTTTCTTAGATTTTTATTAATTTCTTTTATTATCTAAAATCACGATTCAGACTGATAGTATATATTTAACTCAAACGAAAAAGAGTTTTATTGAAATTAAGAAATGCTGCGTTTCTTTTATCATCTTCTCTCCGGGATTACGTGCAAGTCTATGGGATGGGATCTGTGGTCAGGTTTCCTCTGTGGCCGTACATGAAGCTGGTGTTCTGCGTCTGGTTGGTGCTTCCCATCTTCAACGGAGCCGCCTACATCTACGAGAACCACGTCCGGAGGTACGTCAACCTCGGCGGCACCGTCAGCTCCAGCTACTCGGATCGGCAGCGGCGCGTGATGCAGACGCTCAGCCTCGACGCCAGGAAATCCGTCGAACGGTTCGTCGACGTTTATGGACAGGAAGCCTTCGAGAGGGTCGTCAAGGCAGTAAGCACGCCCGATCGAGAGTGTTTGATGTTTTTACCCTCCATGATTCCGACACACTCCTCCCTCCGTAGAAACCTCATCCCAACTTGATGTTGCAGGCGGAAAGAGAAGCGAGGGGTCAGCCAGCGAAAGTGATGCCAAGAGCTTCTTCTGTCAGTGTGGATGCGTAGTTGAAGTGAGAAGAGGATGAATAAACATTCTAAAAGGACAGTGTGTGCCAATGCAAGTCCCTCTCTTCATCCATGTCGTTATTGCCTTTGAACCCAACCATTTCAGCTCATCATGGCATTTGCAAATGAACTCCTTCATCTCTGGGCAAGAAATTTCAGCTTTTTATTATTATTTTAAATAAGAAAAAAGCAAAAGGCTCTCTTTTCAAAACTTATCCTGACATTAAATTGGAAAAAAAACCTAACATATGAGAGGATGTTGGGAATATTAAATCAAACTAAACATCAAAGATGATATCATAAAAGGTTGAGTTTATATAAATGTCCTTCTCTCTAAGGTTCTACATGTCAAGTTTACAAGAAGACATCAGAGCTTGGCATTGAATTGCTTCTTTTCTAATAATTGAAGTGATCATCCCATTCAAGAACATTCCTTTTGTGGACCTGAGACACTTTTTGAGGTTCTTTGCTGCTCTAGCATTCTACAGTGGAGCTTCAGAAGCACTCATTCTCCACTAAAGCCTGAACTGCAAACCTGGATATGACTGGGTGTGAAGAATCTGTTCAACCGTGATAGTTGCATTCACACAGATGAGAATGTCCTTTTGAGCAATACAATATGATAACACTAATGAGTGAAAGCAGAAACAATCAGAAAATATTTGAGATTTAGCCCAAAGAGTTCATGTAATGATTTTTAATCACATCCGATGTATCAGCTCATAATTTGACTGTTTCCATTTGGGGAGAGGAGCAGCAGAAGCTCCCAGTCTTTTAGTTTGTGATTTGAAATAGTTTGGATTTGCTCTAAAAACACAGAATCAATCAGAAAATGTCATCATAAAGCAAGAAAGAATTTTTGAAACGGCTCATCTCCAAATCATAGAGAAATCAATTTTTTATTTTTCCAAAGAGCCAGAATTCTACGACATCTTCGGATGCAAACTTCTTTCGAAGAAACAAATCTATAAGAAGTTTTTTATTTCAGGATCTTTTTCACACACGTCTTCCCAGAAGAGTGTTATATATTTTTTTTTCTAGGATAAGAGAGATCAATAACCATATTGATATCTGTCAAAAAAGTTCAGTAAGAAAACATAGGTGACAAATGACAAACCAGGAAATTTTGTTCAATTCATGTTTTGACACGACAACAATCTACCGTCAACAAGTTCAAAATATAAATTACATATCAGTCAGAAAATCAGCAATCCTCCACCAGAATTTGTTTCATCTTCAAAACACAAAAAGAGCTTCGAATTCGGATTCCAAAATGAGCTTCTTGCTGTTGCATTTGCGTGCCTTGTAAACTCATCGAGAGTTATTTTCGGCCTCAAAGACCGGTCATATTGAACATATTCGGTGTCTGAATATGTGGTGATCCACACCACACAATCATCCTTATTGATGTAGGAGCTATCGAAGCTAAGCTTAACCTAATCAGATGATGGAGACAGAAAATGTTCTTTTTCACGATGCAACCTGAAATTGCTTTAAGTGGGTACCAGTATATCAGACTTGGAACAAATTGTTTAAGACTATTAATGCCATGTAGAAAAACAACAAACCTGTTCTAAACAAGATCAGATAGCTTCTACAACTTCTGATGTGATCATGGAACTCAGAAAACCTCCTATTACCTTTCTTAATTATAATGTGAACCATGCGATGCTTTCTTCATGAGTTGTTCTAGTTTGACTGAATGTTGCTGTACTATGTTACATGCTCTTTCAAACACCAACTCAGAGTTCTTTACTTCTTACTTGCACACATGTGAGAGAGGTTATATCTTCTTAAGCCTTTTTCAACAAGACGTGAAATATTTCAGACTCAGGGAGACAAACATGTACCAAAGTATAGAAACAGAAGACGCTTGCCTGTTGTAATATCTTGTATAGATTAAGAGGCAACACAAGAGCGAGATATGCTACCACCAAGATCAATCATAATAATCAAAGTAATAAGTTTTAAGGATGAATTACACCTTCATGTTTTACAAGGTTGGCGACAAACAAATAGCCTTCCAATTCTAAATGGTATGATGCTCAAGTTGCAAGAGGATGCAGTATGGAAGTACTAAAAGAGCCCTAACAAGACCAAGACAGCACAAAGGATTAACTGACTGAAAAATATCCTGCATAAGCCCAAAGATAAACAGCTGAATCCCTGAATTAACCATTAATTCGTTATATCATAAAGCAGACATCTGATTGGTCTTTTCAAAGGTCATTCACATATAAAATGAACCAAATCCATTTAATATAATGTCTGTACTTCGTTTTTGAGGCGATGATGGATTACATACAGCTAACTTGTGCTATCTGAACAAATAAGAGATGAGATGGTGATCAGAATATCACAGACTGCTACCTCCTAAACATTCTTAGCTAGTTCGATTTGGTTAAGGCCAATGCACGAGTAAGATTCTCATTAGCTATAAGCATACACATGGGATTGCCAAGGCGTGACAGCATTGATTGTCTGCAAGGTCTCGCTCAGAGATCTTCCAAGATCAAGGAGTCATGACCGAGACCAAGTGCAGCTGCGATGACAACTTGATATATCACTGCGTTTAAACCCCACAAGAAGTTCATCCAATGTGAAGCTCTAAAACAGTGAACAAGAAGCTAGAAGACAACCCTAGAACATACATAACACTCTCAAGCTCATCAATTCTCTTGGATGATGTGCCCCCCTGATCCTAACATGTTGAACCACAGCTGACAATAACAAATCAGATGTTACTTATATTTTAGGACAACTATAAAAATCAGAAAAATACTTAATTTTGAGGATCGAATCTCTCTCAGCGGGGATTGAACAGTTTCTTGAAACAGTTTCTTGTTACTTATGGTAACTCCAGAAACGTGGTTCGAAGGTGTTCTACATCGGAAAGGATTCCTTAGAAACTCGTATTCAGCGTCCACCCAACTTCGACTCAATCGAAAGCAGGAAACAATCGAGAGATCCCCTTTCCCAAACAAAAAACAAAGCAAATCAGAGGAAAATGAGCGTATCTCAATCAATTCTCTCGGATATGATCATATTCGAACTGTACCAAAGGAAAAGGAGCTTACTTCATCCAGTGTTCCTCCAGGGATCCAACACACCACCACTTCGAGGATGGGTCCGGCAGCGATAGGCGCGGTAATCCGCCGTCGGATAGAGGTCGTCGCCGGCTTTATAGCAAGCGGGACAGAACCCTAGCGGCCGTTGCAGGGGACGACTGTTGATTATTTTTGTGCTCTTTTTTATAACATTAATACGCACCGTTCGATCAATATCAGACGATCGATCTATGGGATTACTGCGACCCGCTTCTTTGTCAACCGGAACTGTTCGGGTCGGGTAAGGATCGTACGGGTCCGTTGGATTAGAATAGGACCCGAACCTTATCCGAACCATTGCAATAGATGGGTTGGATTGAATTGGGTTGAACCATCGGATCAATAAAATAACTGATCGACCTGACTGCAAACCCGTTTGACCAGCAGGTCAACCATTCTCGAACGAAACGGATCATCTTTAACTGATCGGATTCAGATCTGGTTGAAGAGTCCGATTCAAGTCAACATCGCCGTCCCTTTGGAGAGGTTCCTTAGAAAGCCCTCTCTCGTTTATATTTCTCCCGAATCGAAGCCCTAAGTCCCAATTCTTCTCCGATCCCAGATCGAGCTCCGTGTTTGTTCTTCAACTCGCCGATCCATCGCCGTTGTCTTAGTCGAATCAATCACGCCTTCTGCTCTTTCTCTTGTTCGAGGTGCGATCGCGTCGAGCCGTGGGATTTAGGGCTTTCAGGCATGGGGTTGGATCGATGAAGGATGCCGGAGTTGCGTAGCGGCGCGCGCAGGGGCCGGGCACAGGCGAATCCGGTGGTACAGGCTGAGCGGCCGAGCACTAGGCGGAGGCGGGGGGCTAGGAACCAGCAGCAGCCGGTGGATGAGAACCCGCCGACCCTGACGAGGCCAGCCGAGCGGAGGGAGGAGATCGGGTTGGTCGAGGGCCGCGGCGAGGTCGGCGGCGAGGAGAACAGGGAAGGGGTCGGTGAGAGGATGATGAATGACTGCGATAGTGGGGCGAAGAGTGGGGGAAAGCTCCCTGGTGGAGAGGAGGAAGGGAGCACAGCCCCGCTTCCAGAAAAGGTGAGACCCTCCCCCTTTTGCCTAGGTTATGATGAGGATGTGTTGGTTTTACGTTGAGACTCTCAGATTTCACAATTTGTTAATGTTGGAATAGTGCAGCTGTTCTCTTTATTTCTATATCAGATTGTTTCTTGAAATAATTTCCACTGTGCTTAGCATCTGTGCATAGTTGAGCAGTTAAAGGAAACGTCAGCTGCTTGAATATTGTTTCTTTGTTTATGTTGCTATCGAGTTTAACGTTTTTTTGTAATATGGATTTTGTAATTTTGATCTATGAAACTGATGATTTCCTTTATGGATGCAGCTGTAAGGCACCTTTTGTTCTATAATTTGTAATTCATATTGTAATGTTTTGACGAGTAATCGCTGCAAATTGCTGTCGCTGTCATGTTTCCAGATCTTGCATATATCTTATAAGAGATTTGCTGATGTATTTTGTTCCTTTTACCTACTTTGAAAATAAATAATAAATTATTTACACTTTTCTCTTGTGAGGTTAGTTGTGAGTCCAGTATTTCTTTTTTTCCTGTTCTATTCCTTTCTTTTTGAAATCGCCTCTACTTTTAACATCTAAAAAAGATGAGTTCTCTCATGAAAAGAATCAACCTAGAGTGGGTAAGATTTGCCTTTTTTTTGTTTTGAGTCAAGCATGTACCTATTACTTCATTGGCCTTGTTTCACCCCCCCTTTTTTTTTTGAATGAGGGAATCGTCTTCAAAGTTGTAACATTTTGCAAAATGATGGAAACACTATAATAAAACTCAAAGAGCCTCTCATGATAATGATGAAATGATGATTGTGGTGATTTGGGTTGCTGAACTCATTGAGAAAATTTTTAGCTGATTTGTGACTTAAAACCTATATAATTAGTGGGGTAGGCATGTTAGAATGATAGAAATTAGCTCTTCACATGTGGACACCAATGTTAAGCAATTTATAATTCATTCTATTCAGTGATTTAAAAAGGCGCTCGGGCGCTCGCCTAGGCGCTCGGGCAAGACGAGGCGAGGCCCAAGCACCTCGCTTCATTTCCAGGCGGCGCGCTTCAAAGAGGCGCCACTTAGGCGCTCCCCCGAGCCCAAGCGTCGGGCGCTTCGGGCGAGCGCCTGGATTAAACCAGGCGATTGAACCAGCGGTTTAGGTCTGGTTCGGTCTCTAGTGCTTTAGTTGGTTCAATCGAACCAACTAAAGCACCGATATCAACGCGACTTCCCCAACCCTAACCCTGCTCGCCGTTCACGCTGCTCACTGCTGCTGCTCGCTGCCGCTGTCGTCGCTCGCCGCTCACACTCCCGCTGCTCGCTGCTGCTGCTGCCACTGTTGCCGCTCACCGCTCTCGCTGTCGCTGCTCACTTTTACCGCTGCCACTGTCGTCGCTCCCGCAGTCGCTGCTCGCTGCTGTCGCTGCCTCTATCGCCGCTCCCGCTGCTGGCTGCTACCATTGCCGCTACCACTATCGTCGCTCACCGTTGCCGCTCCCGCTTTTCTCAGCACCCTCGGTCTTCCCTTACACTCTTCTCTTCTCTTTCGCTTCTCCTTTTTCGAAATCGAAAGTATACTGTTAACAATATACAGTATACTGTTAAAAGTATATTGTATATTGTTAACAGTATACAGTATAACACTATTATTTTGATTTTAATACTATTAATATTAATATTATTAATTTTTAGCGTCTCACTTCGCTCGGGCGAGCGCCTGGGCGAGCACTTAGTGCCTTGGGCGTTTTTGGACCGTGGCGCCTTTTGGCGCCTAGTGCTTTTTAAATCACTGATTCTATTAAAAGATGTGCAATCAAGGTGTCTTCTTTTAGTCCCATTTTCAACTTAATTTCTAGTGTTGATTTTGATGTGAATGAATTATGTAATCTACAGTATTATCTCTAGCATTTCATGTGCGGTCAATAGGGTCATGCGATACAGTATTTTGTAATAGAAAAGCTATATTCTTTATTATGATCACTGGTTATTTCTTGCTTCACTTTTCTTTTATGTTATGGTTTGTACTCTGATTAGGATAATTTTCATATCTCTACAGCAGTTTGTACCTTCAGTGTGGATCTTTTTTTACTTCTGTGACAGGTACAAGTGAGCAATTCACCGGTCTACAAAGTTGAAAGGAAGCTAGGGAAAGGAGGATTTGGACAAGTATATGTTGGTCGCCGTATTTCACCTATCAATGCAAATGATAGGACTACTGGTTCTAGTGCCATAGAGGTGCAAACTTTTTCTATCATTGTAATTTATGAACTATCAAGTATCCTTAACTTTATGCAACACATGAATGCCAGGTAGCACTAAAGTTTGAGCATAGGAGTAGTAAAGGATGCAATTATGGTCCACCTTATGAATGGCAGGTCTACAAGTAAGTTCGGTACTGTTAAATTTTTCAGAGGAAACCACGTTCTGTAACTGTCTGATCGATATTGCCTTCTATTTCTGCAGCACTCTTGGTGGCATCCATGGTGTTCCACGAGTCCATTACAAGGGTCGCCAAGGGGACTATTATATTATGGTACTTGAGAATTTCTGAGGCTACTATCTACTCTATTTTCAAGGTTCATCTAGTTGTTTGAGATGCATAATTTCATAACACAATTCTGCAGATTATGGATATGCTGGGACCAAGTCTGTGGGATGTATGGAATAATAACTCCCACACGTGAGTTCTAGATTAAATTTTGGTTGGTGTGATAATATTTTGAAAAATATTGAACTTCCTAATTTGTCTCTCAACTTATTCAGAATGTCTGTAGAGATGGTTGCTTGTATTGCCATTGAAGCAATCTCCATATTGGAAAAGATGCATTCAAAAGGGTAACCTTTTATTCTGTGCTTGTGCAATTTAATTGATCTTCTTATGAATTGAGAAATCAGTAATCTTGTGATCTTTTAGCATTGTCTGTTCTTGTCCAGTCGCTGGAAATTTAATGTTTTCTGAGACTCACTGCTATTGTTAATGTCAGATATGTGCATGGGGATGTAAAACCTGAGAATTTTTTACTTGGTCCTGCTGGAACTTCTGAAGAAAAGAAACTCTTTCTTGTTGATCTTGGCTTAGGTAATATAAAAATTGCCTTTCATGTCTAGCTTAGCTTGTGAGTAGACAAATTTTCAATTTATTTCCATAATCTGTTATGACATAGGATGTCTTATTAAACTCTGAGCTTCTTGACTTGCAGCCACCAAGTGGAAGGATAGTTCAACCAGTCTGCATGTTGAATATGATCAACGGCCAGATGTTTTTAGGTTATTCGTTGCTGATCACTTCTAAACAAAAAACAAATACAAGAGTTGCAAGATAAACATTTCAAGATTTGGTATTTGTTATTCCAAGTACAGTTATTATTCTACTGTTACACATTGCAGGGGGACAGTGCGTTATGCTAGTGTTCATGCTCACCTTGGGAGGACAGCAAGCAGGAGAGATGACTTAGAATCCCTTGCTTATACACTAGTCTTTCTTCTCCGTGGTCGACTACCTTGGCAAGGTTACCAGGTATAAATACTTGGAGTTCTAATTGACCATGGTCGATGTTTGATTTTCTTCTGTCATGCCTTGTTTTTCCTATATTGATAGGGAGAAAACAAAGGTTTCCTTGTCTGCAAGAAGAAGATGGCTACATCTCCAGAATCTCTTAGTTGCTTTTGCCCGCAACCTTTCAAACGATTTATTGAGTACGTGGTCAACTTGAAATTTGATGAAGAACCTAACTATGCAAAGTGCATCTCTCTTTTTGATGGCGTTGTTGGTCCTAATCCAGATATTAGACCAATTAACACTGATGGAGCTCAAAGGGTATCTCAATTTTTACTGTTTGCCTTCTTTGATTAATGCCGTTATTCTTTTAAGTCATAAGTCTATTTAACCTAACTTGCATGTTATAAAGCTTGTGTATCAGGTCGGTCAAAAGAGAGGCCGTCTGATGATGGAAGAAGAAGAAGAAGAGCAACCCAGAAAGAAGATTAGGATGGGGATGCCTGCTACACAATGGATCAGTGTTTATAATGCACGGAGACCTATGAAGCAAAGGTGCTTGTTCTCTGTGGTTTAAATTTAAAATTATTTACTTAGATAAGAAGAA